CGAAGGCGGGTGCACCACGCTGTAGGCAATAGAGTGCCCAGACTCCTGCTGCCCCAGAACACTGTTCACTCATCCCGAGGATACAACCTCTCGCTCAGGACTTTATCCACAACTGAGCTAATGAGGGGTGCTGTTCAAGCTCCTAGCACAGTGATCCCACCACAGTGAGCCCAATCACAACGTCTTTCCTGGCCAAAATGGTCACAGGCTTTGATTTGAGATCATGGGATAATGCCACCGACAAGCGGTGTACCATCACGTCACTCCACGTCATGGTGGACGCCTTGACAACTCCGAGCTCTTTGCTACTTCTTGCGATTGTCTCGGAATTCTCCGCCATCAATGCCATGTTGAAGATAGGCGCCTCACACGATCTTGTGGCCTCTTCTCCTGAGCAGCCCTGAGAGCAACGGCAATCTACAGGGTGTTTCAGTTAAAAAGCACCAAGCAATAAAAAATAAAAATGAGTGCTACGCGTCTCCAGCTAGCGCAGTATTGTTCTTAGCTGTATGTCGCACGCCAGAATATTTTTGGATCCGCCAAGCAGGGTATATTATAAATATTGCTTTTCGAACGTTGTTAAATACCTACTCTAAAGAAAAAAATCAATACAAGACTTGTAGCTCTTAATAAGAACTAACAAAATTTTCAAGTTACGGTAAGACAACAACGCTGGTTCATTTGTTTTCAAGGTTTATTTAAACTGTGCGAAATTTAAAAAAAACCACGTTATCGTCCCCAAACGCATGGCGCTATAGTTAGGTGCCCTCAAATGTAAGTTTAAGGAATTAGCGAAGGCTTCTCACGCGCAAAGGTCGCTTGAGCAGAGCACTGGTGACTACGATGAACATTAGGCGATGGTTGGATGGTACCATGAAAAAAAGGGGGGGCGGCAGAAATAAACGAATACAATAAACTTCGACAAAAAAGCAGCTGCCACGTGTATGGCGATACAAGACCAGAGGAAGCATTCGGCGCAGTGCAGACTTTTTTTTTTTCTTTTCGGGTTAATGGTAAACACGATGTCGAGGAAGAGGACCCGAAAATAAATTGTTGGCTCAAAGAGCAAAAAAAGTGTCTGTGCTTCGCCAAATGATGCCTCCTGTCTCGTATCACAAAGCGCCGCGTGTTAGGCTGCATTCACGTGTAGTTTTTTTTTGAATTTCGCGCACTTCAAAGAAACCCTGAAAAAAAAATGATTCACCATTGTTATCTTACCGTAACTTCAACATTTTGTTCTTTCTGGATAAGGGCTACGAGTCTTGTTTTGAATTTTTTCTCTAAAGTGAGTATTTAAAAAGTTCTTTAAGCAATATTTGTTAAACACCGTGGGTTGAGGATCAAAAAAGAAGTATGTTAACGTGACACAATGAGTTAAAATCTGTAATTCACAAGCTAGAGACTTATAACACTCACCTTTAATTTTCGTTGCTTGGTGCTTTTTAGCTGAAACACCCTGTATACTTTTGCCGCTTTAACACGAGCTGGGTTGCTTCGCGTGCGCACTTTACAGTCTTTCAGCTGCAGTCTCACGATCGCCGGCAACCGTAGTTCGATGGGTTGAAAAAAGACGCCGACAACTAGGTGGCAACTACGAATGCCATCGGAGCTCGCAAGGCCTGGACAGAACAGCAGAAGTGTTGCCATTGCCTTCAAAACGGTAATGTCTAATGACACAGTTGCGAAAGAGTTCAGCAGCAGTCCTGCCCAGAGTGCAGCTTCAAGGCAATTGCTGTTTTTGGCCGGACTACCGCCCACCTCTCACCATCCCAGTTCAACCTCACCAAAACCAAAGAAGGTGAGAACATGACTATTACCAAGGATGGAGAGCGAGAGTTGTTTCATCGCAAGGCTATAGGCATGCGTTGCAGCTCACTATTTGAACTTTCGGATGATTTGCGGCATCAGATTCTAGTTTATCAGAGCCAGCGACACCTATCAAAGATGGGCCTTTTGAAGGGCGTCACTCAAACGACGTAACTGAATGGAGTCATCCCGATTGTGTGCAGCTGTACCCAGTCATACAATCGATAACCTCCTTAAAGAATACTCCTTAGGGAACGCATAAACAAGCTCCAATATGCGTGCCGCTTTTCCGGTCTCAGGTTCCGCGTCAGGGCCCATCTTACAAGCTTTTCTGTCAGCAGCCGATACCATTTTCAAGTCGGAGCTGTCGTAATTGCAGACCCAAAGGTGGCCTTCTCATGGAGACATGGAGCTCCTACTGACTTCGAGAGACCAAATACCATGGCAGAAACCACACTTCCGGTGAACCAGGTCAGCCTTCAATCACCGCCATCGGGCCGACTCATGTTTAGCAGGGAGACCACCGCGAAGTGCTCGTTACCACATCTACAGTTGTCGGCTGAGCATGTGTGCTCAATTCATGAGTCTGGGACAGACAAAGCTAGCATCAGCCATCCTGGCGACATAGAATTCGACCTTCATTTCGGCGACAAGCACACATTTTGACTTCCGGAGTACCAATTGAACGCCGCGACCCCCCACGAAGTTGTTGGTGTCACTATCAAACTCACCACCGATCAATCGGGCCGGTGCCACTTAGATCAAAACAATGACATTCCATACATCTGCAATGATGTCAGTATGGTGTCTAGCAGCGGTTTCATTTTATACATTCAGATACAGCGCGAAGCCAGCAGAGGTCATGTTTCAGCGCAGCTTCAGAAACCACAGATTGATAGTAGCAACAGAGCTGCAAGCGCATCGGACCATGATCACGCACCGTGGCCCGTTCACGCTCACATTCATTCTGTGTTGCGCACGTATTTTAAATAAACACATGCAAATACGCATAAAGACCGTTTCACCATATTCAGACAGCATAAGTGTCTATTCAGCACGCGATGGCCACTCCGTGGCACCCGCTGTCACCCCCTTGAGACACTTCTAAGAAATCTACCAAGACCCAGCACTCTGATGCAGTCGGGATCGCCAACCGGGTGTAGTTCAGGCTAGCACTTTGTTGCAGCCAATACCACCCACCGGCGACACTGACGTCGGTTCCGAGTGTCGCAGCCTTGACCAAGAGGGATGACGAAAAGACGCACCAGAGTAATTGAGTACTGGCAGCAGAATTGATTTATATGTGTGGTTTAACGTCCCAAAACCACCATATGACTATAATAGATGCCGTAGTGAAGGAATGGCTCCACAAAGTTCAACCTCCTGTGGTTCTTTAACGTCCACCCAAATCTGTTTGCACAGGCCTACAGCATTTTGGCCTCCATCAAAAATGCTGCTGCCGCAGCCGAGATTCGATCCCGCGACCTGGCTGGCAGCTAGATTGAGGCAGAACAGGAAGAGAACCAGAATAGAACATGCCCATTCTAATAATTGATGAGTCAGTCTAAAATTATAGTTAGCTGAATTTTTCATTATTTGAGCATTTCAATACCAATATTTTGTATTTAGGTTTGTCAGTTATTTTCAGCTTATGCGAGTAGTACACACAAGAAAATACACAAAACTTTCACCTATTTCTCGGCCAATCGCCTACATAGGGTATGAGCCATGAGAAGAGAATAAGAAGAATAAGAAGAAAAACCATCGCAGTTGAGACACCTTAGGTTATTGCAGATTTCAGGACACTGCGGATGAAATTATTTGAACTGGCCGATTCCTTAGCACCAGCCGCGCTTGATGGCCCAATAATATGCATACTGCCACAAGTTTATTTATTACCGCTATGAGATATGAAAATCAGCAATCTGCCCTGATATGCTAGAAACAATAACTACTTGGACAGAATATAACCACCTATAGTTTCTATGGCTACCCCAGTGGAGTCAGCACAGAAAGGTCGAAGTTTTCTTTACTAGATTTTGATGCCATGTCCCCTCTATAAACATTTATCCACAAAGAGCAGGTCAGATGATATCATTCCTCTGTGCACTCGGCGAAAATATAGAATCAGTTGAACTCTATTTTTCATCTTGTCGCTGATTCTCTATACTTAGAAAAAGAGTTGTAGTTATTTCCGCTCTGAAAATAGGTGTTACATTGACGTAGAAACTGCACTGAGCTTTGATGCTCAGTTTTTTTAAATTGCCACAAGGTTGCTTTCAAAGCTGTTTGCGATTTTTTTCTGGCATTCAAACGTATCCAATTGTATACTCAACAAAAGTGTATTATCAACAAAAGTAGAGTGTATTATCAACAAAAGTTTATTCTGAATAAATGGGTGAAGTAAACGCACCTGTATGGTCATCTCCACACCGGAAATGTGAAAATCTCTCAAATTCAATTTTCTAGTTTTTTCCCTTTTCTCTCTTCTTCTTTGATTTACCTTACAATAGTTGTATAAAAATACAAACTTATTCTTACACAAAGTTGTAATTCTTACACAAAAAGGACCCTAGGCTTTCTTGGCCAACCCTTCTGAGTGGGTATGAGCCATAATTTCAAGGAAACAAACAAACAAACAGCCAAAATTGGCCATGAGAGGCCCTTTGAGCTGGTCTCCAGCACCGACCACTCCCATGCAAACAACATAAATATATACAATATGTAAAGCACCAAAATTTCTTATGCAATCTCTAATCTTTATGTTATATATACTCAATCACACAAAAACTTCTTAATACTTTCAAAATCCACTCCATTCTCGGGCAATACCTCACAGGGGGTATGCTTCACAGTTAATCGGTGTGTGTATGCGTGTCGGTAGGCGGCAGCATCCATTAGGCCCAAAATATACAAAACAGTTCAACACCACTGACGTGTTAATCAAAGACTGGTGCACTTCAGTACTTCTCGTTATTTACGTCCCCTTACTCTCCAAAACTGACGTGTCACTGAATGTGAAGCTGTGCTCTTTTTTTCATTGTCACCTACTCATTTCATCAGTTTCACTCTGAACTCATATTTGTGAGCAATAGCCTAAATAAATGTTTTTATTTGAAAAAAGTTAGCATCCTAAGTGCCACTTAAGTTCTTCGTCGTTGCAAACAACACTGTCAATTTCGTGGATATTTCAGATCAGACACTAAGGGAAGGAAAAATATACTATACTGACTACGAGACCTGTGCTATTCTGGACTTTGAAGTTTATGGACATCGTAAGTGGTAGCATCTGACCATTTCACTTTAATTTTTTTCTGGCTGCAAAGCATCCCGTGTCAGCTTGTTTTCAGGGAATATCAGGGAAGCTTGAAACGCTGAAAAGTGGTGCATTGTGAAATTAGTACGACAAGTAGCGATACGAGACAATGAAAAAGATCGTTCCCTGCCAAAGGCAGCCAGCGAGACCATGGCCACTGGGTGGAAGCACTGATAAATTTGGGTTTTATATGCAAAGCCTTTTAGAGTTTTGCAAGTACTTTTAGCCTGGGTGTCCGTCTGTCCGTCCGTCTATTTATTTATTTATTTATTCCTTTATTTATAGTACCTTCAAAGGTATAAATACATTGCAGAGAGGGTGGGGCTGTGCATCGTAAAAACAAGAGCATGAACAATATCAGCAAAAAAGTAAAACTAGAAACATTATACAAAAGAATCGCAGAAATCTAGTAGAGTGCAATACGTTGGAAAAATAAACATGTAGACCTACAGTATGCTGCATAAGACATTTTTAAATGCAGTTCTATTAGTTATATTGGTTATGTAGTCTGGTAAGTGATTCCGATATACTACTGTCCTTGGGACAAATGATTGCGAGCCTGCAGAAGATAAAAAAATAGGGTATGTCTACCTTGTGATGATAATCAAGTTGATGTGAGCAAAATGGAGCTGGGTGTATGAACAAGGAACGAAGAGCAGGTTTATGGTAGTACATTTTATGAGAAAGACCAATGTGTGATTGTTTTCTACGTGTTGCTAAGGATGGTAGATCAAGAGCAGCTTTCATGTTTGTGACACTGGTATTGCGATCTTAGATGAAATAAAGGTAACCGAGCGATTTTTTTACTGCCTCAATTCCTTGTGATAATGTAGAGCTGTGCGTGTCCCAGACAGATGAGGCATATTCTAGTTGAGGGCGAACGTAGGTGGTATAAAGCAATATTTTTAGCGACGGTGGGTCAAGATAAAACTTTCTTTTCAAGTAACCTAAAGTTTGGTTTGCTTTGGATAAGATGTAATAGACGTGGTAATTTTATGACAAGTTATTAGGTATGCGAATGCCAAGGTAGTGATAAAAAGCTGTGGTTTACAGGGGTGAATTGTTAAGGGAATAGGTCGAAGAGGTGACGTAGCGGCTAGTTACACGCATGCTTTTGCATTTAGCGACGTTCAGTTGCATATGCCACACCACTGTGATACGGTATCGAATTCATTTTGTAGCGTTCCACGTCTGCATCGCTGGTTATTTTCTGGTAAATGACACAGTCGTCTGCAAACAAACAAGCTTGTGATGAAATGAGAGTAGGTAGGTCATTAATGTACATTAGAAATAACAGCGGACCAAGCACTTACCCTTGAGGTACACCGGAACTGACTGTTGCTTATGGAGAGTCAAAGCCGTTGGCTTTGACGTACTGTACACGGCCGGAAAGGACTTCTCAAATGCAAGTGAGTACTTGGGGATCAATATTAAGAGCACTTAGTGTATGGAACAGTAAGGAGTGGTTAACTTTGTCGAAAGCTTTCGCGAAGTCTAAAACATACAATCTACGATAAAGCCAGATTCAACATATACATATAGGTTCTTTGCGAATGTGATTAGCTGAGACTCACACGAGAAAGATTTCCGGAAACCATGTTGCGAGGTTGAAAAGAAACTGTTATTCTTTAGATAGTTGACAAGATGCGTGAAGATTATGTGATCAAATATTTTACATGGAACTGACGTAAGTGAGATAGGACGAATTGGATTGGATAAAATTTTATTGAGATAGGACGAATGTTTCAGGGATAACTCCTCTTTCCGAATTTCCGGATTTCGAAAATGGGACAATTGTATCTGTTTTCCGGTCTTCGGGTAAAGAACCGGAGTCATAAGATTGCTAAAAAATACACTTTAGAATAATTGAATAGCATTCTTTCGTGTTTTCGAGGAATTTCGAGTTGATCTGATCTGTACCACTAGTGGAACTTAGTTTTAGTTTGTCATTTATCTTTGCAATTCCTACAGAATCAAGAACAATTGGCTCCATAGGAAGATCGTTGTATCGTGGAAAGTTGGGCATATCGTTGGTTTTCGCAGATGAAAATGATCGAAAAAAGGTGTCATTCAACACATGGGCAGTAAGCATTGTCGGCACGGGGTCACCAGGTGGATACGATAGCGTAAACTTATGGTCATTTTTGTCCTTCAGTACATTTCAAAAGCCTTGCGGGCTATTTTGAAGAATTTTTGGAAGAATAATACTGAAGAACAAAAATTTGCTGCACTACAAACTGGAAATGTATGACGAGGTGGTAGTTCTATATGATAACCAATGTGACGCTTTTCAAGAAAGTTTTGCTCTACGGAAGTAACGTTTCTTTTTATTGGCAAGTCTGTTGAGGTACCTAATGAACCAGGGTGGCTTACTGTTGGAAATAAACGACGACAAGGTACATCTTCTTGAAACAACGTATTTAAACATATTCCATTTACTCTGTGCTGAACGCTTGAATACACGAGGTAGAAAAACGTCCAGAAATAACGTAAGTTCTTCATTATTAGCGTAGTAGTTACCTTTCCCGTAATCTTTATCAGTTTTGAACCATTTGCATGTTTTTGAATGTGTTGTAACTAGGCTGAAAGTCAAAGTGTCATGGTCGCTAAGGCCCGGCAAATGGGTGATCGAAGAAGCGACATATTTAACTGACATTAGAACAAGGTCTAAAAGTGACCGTGAATTTTGTGTGATACGAGTAGCCGAAACAACTAACTGCGATAAGTCAAAATCAGTACAAACCGAGATAAAATCGTTGGACTCGGATGATGATGTACTTCAAAATGGGCATATGGCAGACCAGACAATGTTGGGAAAGTTAAAATTACCCAAAGAAGTATTTCAGCACCAGTATGTTGTACAGTATTTCGATTTTAACAGTCGTGAAGGTTTTCAATGAATGATGCTCTGGTTGTCCGTGAGCGGTAACAAACACCAATAATCATTTTCTTAAAGTTTGTAGTTAAACAACACCACACTTATTTCATATGGCTAGTAATGGGAACTACAAATCTGCTAAGGCTTTCAGTAATTGCAAGTAGCACACCACCAACAGATACAGTGCGGTCATTGCGATAGATTTAATATTTTTTATTGCAGTACAGCATGTCAGCGTTGCGTACATTAGCGGATAACCATGTTTCAGTACTGGCTACTATGTCAGCGTCGCAATCATCGATTAGGCTACATAATTCATTTCTTTTTGCATACGCCTACGTATATTTGTCAACAGCACCGCTAAGTTAGTCCACCCAGCCCTCTATGAGCCGGAACCCCTCTAGTTTCTATATCGCTTTTTTGTCTGCGCCGCTCGTTTCGGTCTAAAGGAAGGAGTAGTGTCTTCACTTTCGTGGTTATTCGAAAGACCATTTTCACGGACGGAATCGTCGTCCGCATTGTAATGATAAGATTTACCACCTGCAAGAAGCTTTTTTTGTCGTACTTGATAAGGAACATGAAGGTTCTTGCTGAACTCTGTCAGTTTCTTTCTAGCAAATCGTGTTGCAGGGCAGAAATCACTTATTGACTCTTTCAACTCTGAGCGTAACCAAAGGATTTGTTCTTTATTTTTGTGGGCGGTCAACTTAAAAATCAACGGGCGCTTTTTTCCAGCGTAAAAACGCCCGATCCTGTGAGCTCTTGCAACGTTTTCGCTAGTTAGGTCAAGATTTAGCGTGTCATGATTTCCAATACTTTTCTTTTCAGACTTCTGGGAATTCTCAGAGGTATCATCTTGTATTTCGTAAAAGACGAGATTATCGCGTTGGGAGCGGTCTTCCGCATTATCAAGCCTTACACGCAAATCACTTGAAATTTTTGCAAAATTTTGCGTTGTTTTTTGTATCACATTCACGGCGCTTTGCCAATGATCAGAATTAGCTGTTTGGTTTTCAACTTTTTTAAGCCTTCACCCATGTCAGAAATCACAGTAGCGACTGTTTTGTGTTTAAATTTAAGTTCTTCAATTGTGTCAGTAATCTTTTTTCTACGTCTTCTATTCTAATAGACCGCTGCTTCGGATCCTCAATTGTTCTTAGAATTTCACTTAAGGTTGCTGGTTGTTCTTTAGGCGGGCCAGGGTTACTTTCAACATTGCTACACATCAGCAATAATGAACAAAACGGTCCCGGCTGCGGCGGCTGCATTTCCGATGGAGGCGCAAATGTTGTAGGCCCGTGTGCTCAGATTTGGGTGCACGTTAAGCCCTCCACTATGGCGTCTTTCATAATCATATGGTGGTTTTGGGACGTTAAACCCCACAAATCAATCAATCAATGAACAAAACGGTGTAATGATGGCTTCTGGGCATGGAATCACGACAATGAAGACATTATTAGTCTTAAAACTATTGTAGGCAATACCACAATGGCCACTGACCTGCACGAAGAGCGGAAAAGTGCGTAAGCCCATCATTCCGTACATGCTTTCATGCCCCCTGACGAGTGACTTTGCAGCGCCGGCATTTATCAGTTCCGTCAGAGGCACTGTTGATAGCGTTGCAGCTGCGCACTGGTGTTCAACTCGTCGGTGAAGCGAAGTGTACGTGTATGGGTAGAGTGAGCCAGCAGCTGGGCGAACAGGCACATCAGGAACAGCCAGGCAGAGTCCGTCTGTCTGTCTGTCTGTCTGTCTGTCTGTCTGTCTGTCTGTCTGTACAACTGTCTGTTTGGCTGTCTGTCTGTAAATCTATCTATCTATCTATCTATCTATCTATCTATCTATCTATCTATCTATCTATCTATCTATCTACCTATCTAGCTAGCTAGCTGCCTATGCCAGGTTCTTATTGTGGTCACCTCCTTAACACGGGATAAACCAATTATTGTTTGGGAGAGTTCGCGCGAGTAGAAAGAAGCCAGGGAGACATGGATAAATACGCGTGGTGGGCTAATAGCCCTTCCTATCGACTCAGATGTCCTGTAGCCTTCACTGAGCTAGAAGAAATCTTTGAGAAGGTG